TAGCTCCCTTAAATTGTTGGCTTATTCGATCAACTAGGTAGAGCAAAATAATTATCAAGCCTTGACTTAATGTCAAATTTTAATCTCATTAAACCTGTTAAGTTCCAAACATATAACTTATTCTTCAACGAACAATGGTTCGTATTGCCTCACGCGATACAATTCGGTTCATAGTTCTTCTTTTATATTATAAAGGCAAGGACCGAAGTTATATTTGAATGAATTAGTCCAATTACAATTATAATGTATCCCAAATTGGTTCGGGAATCTTTTAATCAATATTAAATAAATAACAGTTGTTCTTTCCTTAATTATATATCTTAAATGGAGCGGCTTGACTCCTACTTTATTCAATACCTTATTAGGTTTAATCAAAAATACGGACAATATCGAAATTTTATTCAGAAACTCATTGGGCAATAAGATAATTCAAACCATATATTTATGGTAGACACTTCACTGTCAAACAGATAACAGACCACTTATGTACCAATTTAAAAAAAAAAAAAACAGACTGATTAAAAAAAAGTCACTACAAAAAATTAAAGTAGACAATAACCCTGCAGGAATTGATAAATAGAATTGCCCAGGCAATCTATATAAAAAGCTTCAAAGCCCAACGTTACGGAGTCATAAACAATGACGACGTACGTAAAGTAGTGACCTTGCAATTACAAAACATGTTATGATCTTAGGAACAATAACGGAATAATTGCAAGATATGAGATTAGCGATTTATATACTAATGGAACTCAGGGCTAAGGTCAGTTTTCCAAAGGCTTGAAATGCAGGCCGGTATACACGAATCAGCCAACTCAAAGTGGCACCGTGGGAAATTATCTTTGGACAAGTTCAAAGATAATTATTAATTAATGGGCAATAAAATATAGAAATATGAGAGTAGCTACTCACCCGGTGACCCAAATAAAATGAAGAAGCTATATTGTCTACGATACATGATTTACTAATAGAAGGAGGTCACACTGGCATTACAAAAACTTTGGCCAAAGTCAAAAGACATTACTTTTGGAAAGGTATGACTCGATATATTAAAGAGTACATACGGAAATGTCTAAATGTCAAAAGCAAAAATAACAACGCATAAAAAGACCCCATTAACGAGTACGGAAACACTACTAACAGCTTTCGACAGGGTAATCGTGGATACGATCGGTCCACTGCCTAAGTCTGAAATAAAAATGCATATACTGTTGCACAAGCAATATTTGAAAATTTTATTCTAAGTACGGTCCAATGAAGACGTTCATTGCGAATTAGGAAAGGAGCATAATTTCAAGTATAACATGTTGCAAAAGCAATATTTGAAAATTTTATTCTAAGTACGGTCCAATGAAGACGTTCATTGCGAATTAGGAAAGGAGCATAATTTCAAGTATAACATGTTGCAAAAGCAATATTTGAAAATTTTATTCTAAGTACGATCCAATAAAGACGTTTATTGCGAATTAGGAAAGGAACATAATTTCAAGTATAACATACTTCTGCGCATGTAACCCCATCGGACTCTACAACCAATCTATGGCCGTATTGACCATATGAAATAAAACTTAAAAAAAAAAAAAAAACCAAACTAAACAGGAAAGCAATATAAGCAATAGCAATACCAATAACTTCTCTAAATAGTTAACTCATTAAATAACATATACATTTAAAAAAAAAAAAACCAAATAACAATAATCGCATAATAATCGCATACTTTTTCCCAAAATTTTTTTTTCATTTGTCTTTTTAATTTTTACTTAATATAATTACTATGAAAATAACTACATTATATTACGTTATTTTTCAAAAGGAGGGAGATGTAGTATGCTCACATATCGGGTACACACTGTACCACTTATGTATATCACTGCAACATTGTGGCGTTTGGTTATGGCCAAATATTCCCAGCACTTCAAGTGCGGAGTAATCCGATCCACACAACAATGTTATGAACATCCTAAATGCTGAGCCGGCATGTCTGCATGCGCGGCCGATCATTCGTTTACAGTGTGAGCATAACACTCTCCCTCTCATGCGCGCCCGCTGCTTGCGCCGTATACACTTATGCATAAGCGTTGACCGCTGCTCTGCAGCGGCACACATATATTAATATACATGTTTATATACAATAACGTTCGGCCGCGGCGCTGCTCGCGCAGCTATATGAATTGTGAGCCAAGGCCAATATTTCTTAAGTAAGGGGAGAATAAAATCGGATGTTCCTGGAGTAGGACCTAGCCTGCTCCAGCTCTCAATAAATATTTTAAACCGAAATAACTTTGTAATTATTAATTAATGGGGATCTTTCACTACAGTGTTAAGAACTCGTGTAAATTCCATTAGGGCTAAAAAGTTTCGGGCATCGGGGAACGGGACTGCGATTCCAGCCGAAGGCTCTGTCAAGTGCGATAAATCAGAAAAGGCAGGAGCATAGCATAGCATCCAGCAGACAAAGTGAGGGAAATTCTGTAATTAAAAGCAACGCGTGGCTGGAATTATGCAGGGCTATACAAGCTATAAAAATGCAAATTTGCTCCAGGACAACGAGCCCGGCCCCCAAAAACACCAACTAATCAATGTTAATTGGATTGGCGTGGGAATTTGCAGCTACTCGCCGCTTTTCTTGGCTTTGCAATATAGCAAAAATGTAGCAATCTATAAATATGCAGCGGCAATTACGCATCTGAAACAGATTGCACCGCTCCCAAAGATAAGCGACCTTGAGCCAGCTGCCAACTGAGTGACAAGCTCATTAGAGGAGAGGCTAAAGAGAGAGATGGAGCAACGCTCACAGTGCACAGAGAAAAAGGTATCTTAGCTTTCATAATAAATAATACCAATAATATAAATAAAAGTTGAATTTAATGTGTAGTTAGTCCTATTGTAAAGCACAAAGGGTTTGCTATTAATTTATCATCGATATACAATACTCAATTCAATTATTTCCGGTGTGGCAATTATCACATGTCTGTTGCATATGAGCAACTGTTATCACAGAGTTAATAAATCAAGCCAGGCCCAGAGTAAACCAAGCAAAACAACACCCATAAAACAAGTGAGAGAACCAGAAAAGGTAAACAAAGTTCAAAGAGATTCTTTAGTTGGCAGATTGACAGGGACTCTCTCTCTCTCTCTCACTCTCTCTTTTCGCTTGTGTAATATTGTTTTTATTCAATTAGGCAAACAACAATTACAAAAGCAGCAACAACCAATAAGAAAACCAATATGTTTGATGTCATTTAAATGCGGATAGCAAATAAACACAGAAACTAGTCGAATGCCTGACACACTTGTCGAAACATCAAAGAGGAAAAGGTCAACGAAATAAAATAATATTAGATATCTTAAAAGTAGAAGAAGGACACCAAAAATAACTTAATAATATTCGTTTATCGATTTAAGCAAACACATAAATTTATTTTCAGGAACATAAAGAAATAAATTCCCTTTACCTCGCCTTCAATTTTGTGGAACGCACACGCATTGCGTAGTTACACAATCGATTTGTAAGAAGTTTAATCAAGAATTGAACAATTGAATCAACTTGATTGACGCAGTTAAAAGAACAATAAAGACACGAGAGAAATGAATAAAATAGGGGACAAAAGAGGGGGTCTAATCACATGTTGTGTGAATTAAAAGCAAATTGTCAGCGTTCATTTGCACCGCATCACTGCACTCGTCATCATGTGCGGGTAATCGGAGAAGTAAGGGGTGCACCGAAAGAAATAATTTGATTTTCAACCTCTATATATATATATTTAACCAGTATTACATTTTTTTATTTTTGTGTAAAAGGAACATTGCTAAAGAAATTCTTTATTTTACCAAAGAGTAGAATAGATACATTTATAGCTTCTGAATTATTTCTTCAGTGTTACAACAAAGGCATGTCGTCACGGAAATTCATTTGACCAAGTGAAAGTGTGCGATGATACCGATGATGCTAATTCCCATGAGCTACCGAATCACCGAATTTATATACAAAACCGACACGAGTCTCTAAACACACAAAAGGTGCACAATTAAAAATGAATTTGTATTTTCGGTAAAACAACCAAACGCGCCCCTAACAAGAAGAGTTTATATATAAAACCAGTCTCCTTTTTTGTTGATTTATTTGGAAAGCAGGCAAGTGTGAAACTCGAAAACCAAAAAAAAACGATATGGCAACAGAAACGGAACAATGCACAAATATTTGCTCATACACGCTTAAATTAAGTAAGTACAAATCGTGAGGGGTACTTACCAGTCGAGCTGAAAAGGGGGTTCGAATGGGGGGTAACTGGGGGTGTAGAGGGCAGAGGTGCTTCTTCATTAGAGACATTGTTACTTTATTATTCATTGTTGACCCGCACGTGGACTCACGCAACGTCAGTAAAAATAAAATGTATTATATGAAAAAATAAAAACGCAAACGGAAAGGCACGAAACAGAGTTGTTTGCTCGAAACGGAGAAAACACCGAACGGATTATGGATATGGAAATTGCGGAGAAGGAAAATCGATTGCGGGATGCTAATTTGGCCCTGTTATCAAATGGAAAATGGAAAATCTGGGCCAACGCCCAGGCAATCGGTGACAATTCAATAAGTGACGGATTAGAAAACCAAATCGATGCGAAAAAGAGAGCGGAATCTTACATAAAGCGCCAACTGAGGCGCAGAATTCTTTATGCAAATGTCGAGCACACGCACCACCCACTCCCCGCCCACCCCAATTATCCCCCATTCATGCTGTTCAAATATCTCGGGGGGAAATTAAACTCGGTCGATTAAAAATGGCAGGGATAAAGTATAAAGAGAATTCACTTCCCGCTTGGCGGCTTAATTAAAAGATAAAAATTCCCCAAAAGTAATGAGCAAATATCCGGGATTGTTCCGTTTCAATAGGAAATCGCGCCCCAAATTGGCTCAACTCGGGCTCTTCGGGACCCGTTCTACGATTAGCATATAATATATAGTAGTATATAGGATATATGGACTCTGACTGACTCACCTTATGACGTAGTTAACGCACACGACACTCTGTGGCTTTAGTTTGTCGTAGACGATCGTGGCCTGGCTGAGGATCCAGCAGTAGCCGCCATACTTTCCCAGAAATCGGTAGCGACTAGTCTCGCCCTGTCCCTTGCTGAGCACTAGAAAGATATAAGCCATAAATCGGGGAATTAGTTTGGGAGAACAATTGCAATAAATTAGTTAAAAGCGCCACTAAATGTGGTTCAAGTTCTGGTTTAAGTTCGCTGGATGCTCTTGGCAGAGAAATCATATTACAATCGCATGATAACCGCCACCACAAAAACAATAAACAAAATCTTCTGCGGTCTACCGCCCCGCCCATTAAATCTGTCATAATCGGAGCCACGGAGCTCTTGAACCAGATAGAACCCGAGAATCGGTTACACTTTGGCACATTTCTGGTACTCCAGAGATTTTTTGGCCTAAACAGATAGCCAGGAATTATTATCATGGTTACCAGCTACACAGTGAAAATATTTGTTATTTATTTAAAGTTAATGTTTCTGAGGAGCGTTGATCTGACCTTTATTGATTGCATTTATTTTGATATGTTGTCTTAATTAATTATTTTTAAGATACTCAGATACTAACACTTATAAGTAAAATACCCCAAACTTTTTACCCCAGTGCCTTTTCAGCTGCTTGGCAAATTGTCAAGTTTCAAATTACGGCGCCAAAAGCGCTGGGGCATAAAAATTAAATAATAGCAACTCGCCGCGTGGAGGGCGTTGGGGCACAAAAGGGGGCGGTGCAGGGGGTTCTTAGGCATTTGATTGAGCCTTTGCCCGTGCGAAGGAAAGAGACGGCTAGGCCGAAAACGTTGCCAAGTAATTTGGCTCAACGAGGACGTCACATAAACTCGATTTTAATTAAAAGCGCCTTCCCAACCTGGAAAACGAACAGGAATAAAATAAATATAAAGAACCAACCGCACACACACGCGTAGGAAAAGCTTTTATCTGCGTTTTGTGACATCGTCTTGGCCCGAAATCATTTCAATCAAATTTTTATGGACGCCACTGGCAGCGACCAGAACATTAAATAAATGATGAAAATTCATAGGAATTTCGGGAAAAGCAATTGAAATTCATGGATGGTCCAGCAGTTGGAATTAGCCGGAGTGTGTGGGTCACAGGTGCGCGAAACAGGGTCATATCCTGTTCAAGTCGCAGCAACAAAATCCAATTTGCATAAAAAACACCAAGAATTAAGCGAATTACTGAAGTTTGTAAGTGCCGAGCGACCTTTGCAACAATTAAACCACAAATCATAACAGTGGGTTTCATAAAGGTACAACGACATTTTAAAGCTTAAGTGAATTTAATTAATGATCCAAGAAGTCCTTGTAAAGTGAGCTAAATGAGTTAGTTTCGATAACCGCACTTGAACATTAAGCTTTTAAGTGCAGAGTAACAAAAGCGGATTCCAGTAATGAAACGCACTTTATCCCAGGCTAAACCTCAAGCCAAATATCCTTCGTCTCACTCTGATTCGTTCTTTTATTTATTCATTCAGCTAATTCGAAGTCAGCAGCAGAAAATTAGTTTTTCCTTTTCTTGGCTGCTCTGGCTTAGTGGTCCTGTATTCATCCCAAAAAACAGAGAAAGAAAACTGCGACGAAACGGGCGGGGTAATTATGCGGGGTCATTAATAAGACAAGATCTTTGGAGGCCGAGCCACTGCCGCCTTGGAGCTCTCAATCTGCTGACAGCTCAGTGAGATTGATGCGAGCAGGACATATGTGGAAGCCTGTCAAGTCGACTCCTTGGGAAGAGGAGAGTGCCCGAGAAAGTATGCAACAGAAATGTGTCCACCACATCCGGAGTTTGCCCAAGTGTTGCCACAATAATAACAAGGCAGAATAAGCTAAAATAGCTTATAAAGGGAAACCATTTAATAATAGTTCTTATTTGTGTAATATTTATTCTCTTTTCTTCAACCTTAGTGAACCCAAATCTAACTAGAAAACGGCTAAAACCAGCATCACCGCCCCAGAGCTCAGACGATTGCCATTTGCCAGTGTTTATGTGGAATTAGCAAAGTGAGCAGACAGAAAAGTAGCAGCAGCAGGAAAAGCAACTGCAGTAGCGGCAGCTGCAGCGGTGAACTTGATTTGCCCTCAGCCAAGGACTTTTCCCGGACTCCTGCCGGCATTTTGAGCTTGAGCTTGAGACGGAAAATATTAAAATATCTACGCGCGGCAGCAAAGATCATTTATCAGCAATTTTTTAGCAGCATTCCTCGGCTGCCATTTGGATCCAGAGCCATTGCGCTGCTTCCACAATTTATGAACACGAATGCAATCCGCATCCGCAACCGCTCTCCGCATGGCAATGGCCATGGCCATGGCAGTGGAATTGCCAGGATTCGGGAGGGGCGATGCAAGGATGGAACTGGCCATTTGTACAAATAATCAAACAGAGGAGCTGCTGGCGAAGGGATAGAGTCAGACTCCATTCGAGTCGAATGCAAGACAAACATCGAAACCGCATTCAAGGTTATGCATCAAGCGGGATGAGCCGGAATAGCCGGGATGTTGGGGATTCGAGGAATACGAATACGGAGTGCACGGGATGCAGGATGCGCACACACAATGCATGCTCAGACACGCTCGAGTACACGGGTAAATCCTGGCAGCAACACAACAGTAAATCATCATCAACGCAGCGCACGGACCGAGAGTTGCCAAAGGAACAGGTACAGTAGGTCCCTTAATAAAGGAAGTCCATTGAATAGTCAGCTTACTGCATGGGTTACAACATAATAATAAATTAGCTAAATCCCTACTTTTGCCTCATAACTATATGAGCATTGATGAAAAAAAACTTCACTTTTTCAGAATGATTCCTTTAAACAGTGTTCACTGTACCCCATTCGTTTGCTCATCCTGATTGCTGACCGGCGTCCGTGGTTCAGAGCTACCAAAGAGGAGGATGGTTCGAAATCACATTGGCACAAGTGGATAAGGAAATAAATGTTTGGCTTTGGCCGCCCAAGGATGTGCGCATAAATCAAGGATTTGTTTGCGGATTGTTTCGACCATTCTGCCGCACAAAGGTAGTTGACTTGGAGCGTCTTAAATTTAGACGTAGCATTGACCTTTTGGCCCTCGCTTAGGGCGGCCACGTGGCGTATGCGTAATCTGTCCTAATTGAATTAAGCCGTGACATAATCCCCGATCCACCAGGCGAGCGGGCTTGAAGTCAATATGTGCTGGGGAACTTATGCAAATTTCTCAGTAAGTTTCTTTTTTTCCACGGCTTATTGAGGAGGAGCTGGGGTGGCTATCCTCTATTCCAGCGTCTTCATAACGCTCAAGTCGTGTGGAAAATTGCATTTTACCACCTTTTCTTTGCCACCGAAGGCAGGACATTGTGCAGGACGAGAGGTGCAGGGAGGAGGGATCGGAAATCCCAGTTAGTGGCCAACGACTTGAAAGGGTTTCAGGCGTAATGAAAGCTCACTGCCAAGAAATAGAGACTTAAAGCTGGCTATTATAAGCTGAAGTTGCCGGCAGTGCCCATAAATGGGTTAATGAATGTCTTGCCAAAGCGTATTTTGACAAAAGCTGGAGGAGTTTTCCTCGAGGGCGGGAGGTATTCACAGGGTAGGCCAAATTTGTGGTTGAGCAGCACATACTTCAAGGATACTTTACATGTGTGTGGCAGCTGGCCAAAGAAAAGGACATGGTCCGGGTTCTCAGAACCGCCCGCGGCGAGTAAAAGTCGACAAGATTGTCGGGTTCGAAGGAGACCATTAAAAACTACTCAAAATGTCAGCGGGAGTATTAACCACACGGTGGATGTGGAATGAACGAGCCACAAAACGAAACAAATTTGCTTAATTTGCAGTCTACCAATACTGTTTTATGTATAACGAAAGAAAACCAGAATTGAAACATTCTGCACGGAAAGAATTACTTTGCGATTTTGCGATTCACAAAATTATAAACTTAGAGATTTTTGTATTAAACGTGAATGAATCTTAAATTTGATATTGCAAATTACCTTTTCCATTCAAACGGATCTTTTCTCTATGTGTCAATGAATGAAATTTCAGAATCGCGGTGAAAAAATCAGAGAAAAGGAAAGACGGCAAGGAAAAGCGGAGACACAACGGAAGTTGGAAAAAAGTTAATTGAAAACAAAAGTCAAAGAATTTACATATTTATTTGCCACACAGCCTCAGCCTCAAACTTCGACGCTTGCCACAAGTCAATATTTATTTATGCGTGCGGAGAATTTAAATTACCCAAAAGCTGACGAAGCAGAAGAAAACTAAAGTGCAGCGGGGCTATGAGATTTCTGCACCTCTCCCTGCCGATCTCTTTGTTTTGCATTAATTAGAATTTAACAAAAATAAATGCTGGGTAATTGAAAACTTTCGCCCTCTCCCTCAGAATCCTCTGCCATTATGCTCATTAATTCGGTTCGCCAGGCGAAAATACATATCTCCGCCTCCTGCGTTCATTTAATTAACTCAATTTGAGTGGAAGGAAAGACATCATCAAGACATCTAGAGCGAGAAACTGGGATTGGGAACCGCCTTCAGGTGTTCTGGATTCGGGATCCGGTAATATATGAAGCGGAGGGAGCTAAAGGGGAAACTCCCACTCCTCTCAGATTGTTCAAACAATTAAGTGCTGATGGTGGGTAATTTTTTCCCAGCTTTCTTTCGGAGGAGCAGCTGCAACTTTATTAAGCAAAATTTAATGGCGGTTCCTTTTGCGCCCCCTAAAACTATTTTCCCTCCTCGAATCCTGTCGTTTTTCATTAGCGCCGCCAACTGACTTGCAACAATTGTTGCACAAACAACCAACTCGCAAAACTTCGCCTGCAATATTTTCCGTTGCTTCCTTTTTTTGCCGCTTCATGTTGAACAATTAGTTTGGCTGGACTTTTCCGGACTTGCTGCTGTTGTGTCCATTTGCCAAACGTCTAATTGGACTTGCTAAAGATTTCTACAGAGATTTGGGGCAAGTTTTTTTCATTTGCTGGCACTCCCTGTTCCGTTCTTTTTTCTTGCTAATAATTCAGGGGGAAATGCTGGTTGCGAAAGCCCTTTTTCCTCATTCTCTTGCAAATCCTCTTCTCTACTTAATTTTGTTGGCTTTATTAAT